GATAAAGAGAGGTGCTAATCCGGCCTCGTCTCTTCTCTCTATACTTACGGATCAAGTTAATACTTATACATAACAAATTGGAGTGAACAATTTAGGTATAAAGAGAGAGGATTCTGGTAATCTATCTTTCATTTATTTTTTCTTGCAAAATCTACATATACAAGGAAGATGGCATATTATGTTCACTGAACCAAGGAATGACTCCTAGTAGACTTTTCATGATTCGTGATAAGAGAAAAATAGAATTTGTATAATTTATATATGGTCTCTGCCCTTGTAAGCTAAAGAAACGAAAATGGAGATTAAAAAAATGCATTCTTTTAGTAGAGGAGCGGCCTCTTTTGGCCCCAATATATACTCATAGACTTTGGGTGGGGGATGGAAGACAATACTAAGCTAAGAAAGAGCAAAGGGAGGGGGGGAAAGAAGCGTGGAGCCAATTTGGTTGTGGATTCTCCAACAAAAACATCCATGCTTGGAAAGCTATAAAGGAAACAAAAACTACTATATCCACATAAGAACATTCAATGCTCGATTTCTCTCTCCCATACACATATTATTTAACACATTGATAAATGATGATGACCAACTATTCTCGTCAAGACTTGGGATGGATTATATAATCTTAGCGAAAATCATATTGAAAATGTATTTGTGGTGTGATTGTGGTTCAACAGTATAATATCAATCTAGTAAAGATATACTACTATATCAACTTTATATAAGAGTTATACCAGATAGAAATAAAGAAAATCAGAAACCGAAGCACAAAGGGCATAAGAAGAAACTAAAATAATGAATGAAACGGTTGAAATTGAGTTGAAATTTCATTAAAGCACCTTTGGCAGAGTATTGAGCTTTTCCAATGATTTCCACATCAACATGATTGTCAAACCGGAGGCATGTCGGGCGGTACAAACGGGTTTAACCGATGCTGGTTACAAAGCCGAATGAATCCATTTTCTTATGATCCCGAGATCTACTTCTTGTCATACATGTATGACTCAGACTTTGCTTCACGCATTACCCATGCTTCACCATCTTCTTTCTCCATTACACTAACCTCCCACAACAATCCATAAACTTGTGCGAAGAACATCTAATGACCAATTAGCTAGGATTAGATTTGTACACATAGGTTTGGAATTTTCTTATAGTGACATGTTCCTTCAGCACGTTGGATGCTTCAACCTTCGAGTTAAAAGAGATACCAGGATAGAAATCTCTCGTTTCATCCCAATTATAACCTTCAAGTGCTTCTGGATAATGATTGCTCCCAAACATCATATTTCTTATGCCCTCAGCTAGATTTGTAAAATGTGATAATGGAATACAATCTGAATGACATTGACTCGATGTCGCTAATATTTCCATCTGACTCACCGCTAGGTTTATAGCAGGCCCGACCCAAGGTCTGTGCTGGCAGGCACCCAACATAGGGCCTAAGAAAAAATGGGGCCTCAAATCTCAACCTATTACTATAATTGTCTTTATTCTCATGGGCTTCTGAGCTTTTATGGGCCAAAAAAATTCATTAATAGAAGAAAATAAAAATAACTTGATTGAACTAATGCATCAATGGGCCTAATATTTCCTTAACTAATCTTGGGCCGGTGTGTTTTGCTGGGCTATGGAATGGACTGCTGGGGTTTTGATGGGTCAAATAATTAGTCCCGCATTATTATGTATTTTTTCATAGTTCTGTTAACAGGGCCTCTAAAAATTATGGGTCGGCCCTGTTTCCTAGTCACCCATAGAGTCTTCCTCACTGCTTGGTGGGCAACCATTACAAGCATTAAGAGACTCTACGGTATTATATGTAAAGGAAGATGATGCCATTGTTGGAAATGATAAACTGTTGCTATCCCCCTCAAGTAAGTTGGTAAAGCTTTTCAGCCAGATCCAATACCTATTCCGTGCAATTTCATCACTGGTAGTCATGCATGTTAGAGATTAGGATTTGTTTTGTTGATTTTGAGAGGGTAGTAGAGGCCAAAGAGGCAGAAATAGAGATTGGGATTTGGGGAGGAAAGACGTAGAGAGAGATTTGGTTTTTTGGAGAAAGGGAAGGGTTTTTTTGGAGAGTGAGAAGGATCGAGAATGTGGGTTGGGGAGTGGGGACGGGCAAAATTTTTTTTTCTTTTCATTTTCTCCCATTTTTTTCGGTCAAAGCTTAACCGAACCACCAAACCGATGGTTACGGTTGGCAGTTTTGACTAACTGGTTGCTTAATCGGTGGTAATTTCGATTGCCTGTTTCAGCCACTTATCAGTGGCGGTTAACCGACGAGTCGGTTCAGTTATATAAAAACCGCACCGATTATCAGGACTAGATGGATTCACAGGGTTGTCTCTTTAAGTCCTTTTTGGAGATAGTATGATCAAGGTAGTTGCCCCTCCTTCCTTTTCACTACTAAGCCTCTTCGTTTAATCATACTTGGTTGATCTTGATTCCCAAGGTAGGTGTGGTAGAACGAGTTTCTCGACGACATTCTATCAGTTTCCAGAGCAAAATGGTTGTCCAAAATCGTCAGATAGACAATAAAGTCCCGGTGGCTCATGAATTGATGCATTTTATTAAGAACAAATTCCAAGGCCGCAAAAAATTTATACCTCCAAAGTCGATATGGAAAAAGCATATGACATAATGAATGTCATTTTCATTTTGTTTTTCTATGAAAACTTGGCTTTTTGGATCGTTGGATTCATTGGATTAGAGAATGTGTTTACAACTTTTTTTATGATGGTGAATGGACAACCTTTTGGTTATTTTCCTTATTCTAATGCTATACGGCATGTAAAATTTTCTACACAAATAATCCAAACAGTGTTTGCTTGATGTTGTGAGCAACTATCACTCAAAATAGAGTGTTAGTTAAATCTCATGTGTAATGTGAGATTTTTTAGATAATTTATGTGAGATTGATTAATTTTTTTATTTCAACTATAGCCCTAATTTTTTATGCATCAGTGTTATTAAAATCGAGCCAAGCCGTTCGGTCGGACCGTTAAAACCGCCACCCGGCCACCAAATCAACTCGACATAGTCTAAAAACCGTTGTGGTTTTATGTAGCGGTTGGCGACCGGCTGAAGCGGTTAACTGATCAAGCCGCTCGTCCGGTTTCTACTTCGGTCATTAAGTTCAATTAAAAAAATACAAAAAATTAAAAATTCTCCAAAGAATACAGATGAGAAAGATGATAGAATCGTGGCCTCAGCAACCATGCTTCCTCTTGCTTGAATCGCCAATTCTGCAAAATATGCAGACGAGAAAGATTATAGAAAAGTGGGCATGAGGCCTTTCTTTATTCTTTAGGCTTGTTCTTTGGCTAAAGAGAAGTCATTTTTTATTTTCTTTGGTTTGTTTAGTGTACAGAAACGAGAGAGAGAAAGGGAGAAGAGAAAGAAGCCGCCTATGCTTGAGGATGATGAGTGTGGCTGCTAGGATTTATTGTGGTGAATATATACTAAGGAAAATCACTAAATGGTATATCCAAAGCAAATTTTGTTGCAGTCACTAAATTGTCAATTAAGCAATGATTTAGTATATATATTATGTTTTTTTTACTACATTATGTGTCTTCTACATAAAATATTATTGTTTATAAGGTATCGTTTCTCTAACGGTTTTTTAACAGCCTAATAGCGACTGGACCGTTAAGGTGCGAGCTGTTCACATTACCGAGTCATGCTCCGGTTCAGTTATGACAATATTGAGAATAACTATCACAAAAATCAAACAATATAAACCCACAATACACCAATTCATTAATTTAACTAACGGAGCAATTAACGAAACCCAAAACTCTTGGGGGTCGTTTGGATTAAGAATTTATTTTACGGAGAGATTTGGCCCAAAATCACTCAATTAAAATACCTAGTATTTTAAACCCAGGTTTTGTGTTAAATATGTTGTTTGTTTATGAATGGGGATTTATTAGCTAGGGAATTTAATTCTGAATGCAATTGCAAAAATTACAGTCATATCCTTGACAGATAATCGTCGTCGACACTACGGGCTGGGCTCGTCGCCGACCCTTATCCCCTTCTCTGTCACTGATAGAAATCGCCTAGCCTGCCCATAAAAAAACTTCGCCTAGCAGAAAGATCTGCTAACCCTGAAAGCTTGCTCGATTTGGAGCAGATGGCAACGGCAACGACAAGATGATAGTGGATCCAGGTTCTTGCGAACCCATATCTGCTGGAAGAAAGGAAGACCCAGAGCGCAGGGGTACAAGAACGCATCGATTTGCTAGCGATTAGGGTCCAATCGAACCTCCCCAGTCTTAACGCTCGATTAATTGGGTGTTGTTCACTGTACTTTGGATTCCAGATCTGAATCCTTCGTTGACCGGCGCAAGGGAAGAAGAGCAGAGGGCGGCGGAGGAAGAGGAGAAAGGAGATGAGTCGGGCGTCGGCGTTTGTTGTTGCTCTGTTCGCGAGACGATCGGCGGATCTGACGGAGGGAGAAGAAGATGTCGTCGACGGTTGGAGCTTTCTTCACGAGACGGCGGGCGGATCTGGGGAGGGAGAAAAAGTCCGAACATCGCTACTGATTGATATTGTATGATAAGGGTGGAAGAAGGGAGAGAGGGCGGAAGAAGGGAGAAGAACCTCCAACGAGTTGTGAAGGAGGGAGAGAAGGGACAAAGCTTATCGATAGTGATGGGAAGACTGAGAGAGTGAGAGGTATGTCTGTGAAATTGTGTTAAGGATAGAATTGGAATAGCAAAAAATGAGTAGGGACATGCCGGACAAAAACGAAAAAATTGAGGTCGGATTTTAAAATAGCTGGGGTGGAAGCTATTTCTAATTACGGGTTGGGCCGGATTTTAAAATTTCGAGTGGCCCAAATCTCGCATTATTTAAGAGCCACCCAAACAAGGAAATGGGTTATAATCCCGAACGGGACGGGATTGTGGCCAAATCCCTCACCAGATTTTCGGATCCAAACGGGCCCTTGGATTCTTAATGGGCGTTATATCCATTATCCAGTATAACTACGATTAGGGCCCATGAGCTGGTGCATTACTACGTTCTAGAATAAGGGCGAAGGAAGAAAGTTCGGCCTGCCGTGGTCCGAGTCACGGCATCAATTCCAAAAACTCTTGGCAAAGCAAGCAATGAACCTTTTCTAGAATATAAGGTTGGGGACAGAGAAATGGCAGCTTCGTCATCTCTCCTCCGTTCCACGCCGCTGCTCTCTTCTTCCTTCATCCGACGACGCTTGCCCCTTGTCGGGGCATTTTGCATGCTAAGCTTGGGGCTTTCCAATCTCTGCCCGACTCTCTCGTCTTCCTTGAAAACGGGTTCTGCTCAGTCTCTCCACTTCCTCCCCATCTTGCGGTAAAAAAATTCTTCAACTTTGTGTCACTGACTGACTTATTAGTTTTCCCTTGTTGGTTTCGATGTTCTCCGAGCTGGCTGGATTTGCGTAATTGTTTGATGGGTTCTTTTGCTATTTGGTGGGTAAATGTCGTCGCAGGGCAAAATTCAGTACGGAAGCGAAATCCAGCACCGTGAGGATGGAAACCGGCGGCAACACTGTTCCCAGCATCGTCGTTTATGTTACCGTTCCCAATAGAGACGCTGGTTAGGTTTTTCACCCCTTTTTTTGCTTTCAGCTTCTTCCTGTCTCAGTGTTTTGCCTCAATGGGGAGATTGATTCCTGCAATCGGTGGATGAATCGAGTTAGGTGGTGCTATTGGGGATTTTGAATTGGAGTTCTATGTTCTGCCTTCTCTGTTAGTCCAATCTTTGTTGGTTACTTTTTGATTGATTATCATTTTACTTGGTTGGTTCGATCGATTCTATATGAATCCAGTGCATGGAAATGATAATTGATAACGTTAATCATCACAGATTACATCGTAGTTCATAAGTAATTATGTCTGGTATCCTCGCAGGAAAGAAGCTGGCTCACAGCATTGTCAAAGAGAGACTTGCAGCCTGCGTAAATATAGTTCCAGGTGCATGCTTAAGCTTTCCTCTCAATCTGTCGGTTATTGTTGCCTTATGATTCCTCTATGTTAAGCTGAATGCGGAGATAAAAACGTCATTGTCAGTCTTTTTCTTCTATGTATTCTCGGTACTCATATTCCTTGATTATGCCTGAGTTCCTCTATTGAGTCTCTAGATATCATACCTCGCTCTTACGAATCCATCGTCTTCATTCTAGTCCACAAAGGAGGGAAAACTGAGCTTGTATCCATTATTTTTGATGGGCTCAATAGATTTGGAGTATCTCAGCAACTCTACTCATAGAAGAAACAATCTTAAGGAAAGTGAGAGATTGTCATTTTTCTTCAACTCTCTTTGTGGAGTTCACCTTACGAATCCATCGTCTTCATTCTAGTCCACAAAGGAGGGAAAACTGAGCTTGTATCCATTATTTTTTATGGGCTCAATAGATTTGGAGCATCTCAGCAACTCTACCCATAGAAGAAACAATCTTAAGGAAAGTGAGGGATTGTCATTTTTCTTCAACTCTCTTTGTGGAGTTCACCTCCCTTTTGAGTGGCTTTGATGAACTTCAGAGTTCATTGTGGTTGACATGGAATCATTTTCCCTACTATAAAAAAGGAGTACTTGGGTCATCTGAAGCTATCCGCCTTCAGTTTCTACGTAGTGATCTTCAGAGCTAACAGTTAACGGTCTTATCTCTATTAATAGGAGAAAGTAAGTTAACGTCCTTCCATTCTATGTGGTAATTCAAGAATCCTGCCATCCTGCAGCAACTGAACTGAAGAACCTTCTCGTTTCTCTTAATTAGAACATGAACATGACAAAATCACCTACGCCATGTCTCGCTGTTCTCTCCCCTCTTCTTTGAGCTTCTTTATTTGCTGCTTTATCGTGTACCATGTAATTCATAAATGAGCATGTGATGAAGTACACTTGATGTGCCATGAAAACAGGCGTTGAATCAGTTTACGAGTGGAAGGGAGAGGTAAGAGTTCCTTCCCTTTTAAATGTTTTTCCATGGATTTCTTGTTCTTGAATGAAAAATCTGCTTTCAATAAGCAAGCTTTAAGTTGTTACCCTCTTTTCCCTTTGCAGATCCAGGCAGACTCTGAAGAACTACTCATAATCAAGACCCGTCAGTCCTTGCTGGAAGCACTCACGGAACATGTCAAAGCAAACCATGAATATGAGTAAGCTTATCTTTTTTTGTCCCCTTCTCCACAGACTCTCTAGGGAATGATCAAGTTACAAAGATTAAAACTTTGACATCGAGATTACCCTCCCCGTACTCACTCCTTCCCCTCTCTTCCGTGGGTTTGCTCAGTACACCGGAAGTTATCTCGTTGCCAATAACCGGTGGCAGCATTCCGTACCTAGAATGGCTGAAGAACAGCACCAGGGACTAACCAGCACGCAAGAAGCTTGGATGCTAGACCACTGAGTCTGTAATGCAGGGTCTGTATTTGGGGAGGAGTAAGGCATATACGAAATAGGATAAGATCATGAGTTTCCAGCTATGAAAGGAAGGTGGCTAATCCTTATAGACACGTTCGATGAGTGTATACAATGTTTGTTTTAGCTTGCTGTTTATCCTCTCGGAATAAAGAGATCATGGCTTCCTTAATCTCGCGTTTTCTTATTAGTTGGTTTCCAGATGATAATGTCTCTTTGTTTCTTGCTCTTGAACCAAGTAGTTCGAGGATGCCCTCCCATTCCGCATCCTCGAACTCCATAAACGGAGCAGAAGAATTCACCAACCGGCAACCACCATCCCTTTCCCCAAACTCCATAGCCGCCGCCGGCAATCAACCAATCCACAATCAACCCGACCAATCAACCAATTCATTTCCATTTCCCTTTGTGTTCGTCTCCATCAAATCCTTTCATGAAACAAAATTAAAAAAAGAAAGGGGAAAAAGGAAGCAGAAGGAGATGCAGAGAGCGAGCGAGCTCCCGCTGGATGCCGCCTGCCATATTTTCTGGGCTAACGACACAGACGGGTTGAATTCCCGTTTGAAATGAGGCTAGTACGGGTGCGAGAGGTGGAAGGAACGCGTGCTATGCCGTGTGTACTGCTCGCCGGACGGGTCGTAATCCCGTCGCCGGCGATGGCGAGACAGGTCGTTGCCCCGTCCCAACCTCGCCGAAGACGGATTTTCAACCCCTCCGACGAATGAACCCAGAATCTGACAGGACAGCAACACTTATTTTCTTCCTTCTTCTGAGGACGATTGGGCGATGGGATTTCTTCATCGTCTTCATCCTTCTTCCTCCTCAAGGTTGGCATAATCCAATAGTAGCGGCAAAGGTTGAATTGCAAAGGAAAGTGGGGAAGAATCGATCGATTGAATGAGAAGGGTAAAAGTGTATTTTTAATAGGTTTTAGGGCGATCTTTTAAAAATTCTAGGGCGTCAAATAGTAATTCTCGAATGTCTTTTTAGGTCTCTACGTGGGAATCTTTCATGATGTTTTCGATCAAGACGTCATCCACCTAGCCTTCGACGTTTTGATTTAACTCGTTCTGTGAGACTTTGTCAATCATTCTATGAAAGGTTTCCCCACGTTCTTGAGGCAAAGCGGGTAAAACGCAGTGTTGACGGTAGGGCGGGGAATCTTGACCAAATCATATGACAAACCGCAGTTTAGATTGTACTGTACGGTTTGGTTCGGACAGAAAGACCATGAATAAAATTTGGTATGGTCCATTGTCTGCCTCTTTGATTTGCGATATGGGACAATTTGGTTTGGTCTAGACCGTGGTTAACCATCAAGACCGTGAGCCCAATCACTACTAGTATACTAATATGGGGTTGTGGGTTTGCGACAGAAACCCACTCCCAGCCCCTAGCTCTGTCCCACCCAAGGCCCAATTTCCCCTAATGATCCTAATCCTATGCGCTTCCATCCACTGGCCAAATTGTGAGAGCCGAAGGAAAAACCTAACTCCCCCTCGCCTCGAGCCCTCGGCGGTCGACGCCTCCCAAGTCCCAACCTCTGTCCGCGCCGTGAACTGCCCAATTAGCAGGCGGCAACCTCTAGAAACAGCCTTCCCAGAATCACAACGGTCGATGAGCTGCCTCTCCCTCTAGTCTGATCAACCGAAACAATATGAATAATTTATGGATGTTATTAGTCTTTATGACAATATAAACCTTATATTAAGGATAATATACACATGTTAGTAGTCTTTATGGAACTATATTTGTAGAGAAAAATTTTAAAAACATTGGGATGATACAATCTACGTCACGATGTTGCTTGGAGCCCTCAAAATTTAAAAAACTTTGGGCTAAATACAAGGTTCTAAGCACATACTATCATGCTATATCATCATCTTACAATCACCACAATACAAATGTCATACATGTAATTCATTCACAATCGATAAGCCATAGGCACATGGAAAACATATAAGCATTGATAAATAAGCATGATGTGGGAAACACAATTATTTGCAGTTTTTGGTTATTTCGTATTAGTGTCGGTTTTTAATGATTAGGAGATTATTTGGGTATTTGGGGAATAAACCGGGAGTCAATTGTTAAGTTTTATTATTTGGGGTAGCAGATAGGAATTAGACAGACTATATAATCTGTAGTAGTGGTCTTATTTTGGATTAAGCAATTACAGAACCAAAACCCTAAAGCCTAATCCCTCTCTCTCCCTCTCTCCTGCGTTTTTTCTCCCCTCTCTCTTCTCCTCCAAAGCTGCGACAGCAGCAGCCCATTCCTCCCCTCTTCTTGTTCTAAATCCCCAATTCTAATCCCTAGTTAGGTCAATCCCTAATTGATCTAGCTAATTTCCCAATCCCTAATCACGTGAGAAACCTTGTTTCTCACATCTGGTATCAGAGCAAGGTTCGAGAGTGAGTTCTTTGAGCTCTTGAACCAGGGCAAACAACAATGGTGTCGACGAAATCGATGAAGGCAGCAGAGAAGGCGGCGCGGGCAGCAGAGGAAACGACTGAGGCGAGCAACATGGGGCTCGACGGAAGGGTGGAAGATGAGACTGAACTGGAGGCGATCAAGGAGGTGGTGCACGAGCACTCTGAGGCGTTAGCTCGGCTCGAAGATGGCCTGGCAAGAGTGCAGGTGGAGGCAAAGGCGGATGCTGATGATCTCCGTCAGAGATTGGAGGATCTGATGCGAGCGGTAGCCTCGCTGCAGGAGCAGAAGATCGGAGCTGGGAGGACGCTGAGCTCGACCGAGCTGGAGGTCGGCGGCGGCAGCGCCCTTGGCGGCGCGATCGGCGAAGAGGAGCCCACGGCGGAAGCCGCGGCTGGCGGGGGCGCGATCGACGGAGGCGGACCGGCGGCGCAGGGGGCGGTGACCGCCGGCCAGGGCGCGGCGATGGTGGCGGCGGAGAAGGCGCCGGCGGCGCTAACTGCGGCCGAGTTCGGGCCGGGAGCAGGGGCAGGCCCAGTGCGGGCAGGGTTAGGAGTGGGCCCGGGTTTGCTACCGACACCTACGGCCCAAGAGATCGCGGCCCGAAAAGGAAAGGCTAAGATGGCCGGTTATGACACAGACGGGCCTCCCAAGAATAATGGGCCCAGGCTGTTGGGTCACTACACAAAGGTCCATAACCGGCTTGGGTGGTTGGAGTTGGAAGATGGGCCCGAGTATGACAAATTGGGCCTGGCGGATCAACAGGTCAGGTGGGCTGAACGGGAGATGGACCAGAGAGGGCCTGGTGGGCCGAGGAGGGCTGCCGACCAGTTGGGGCAAGGTGGGTCGGCTCATGGGGGGCGGACCGAGGTGGGTCGAACCGGTACCGGTCGAGCCTGGATCGGGCAGACCGACGCTGATCGAACCAAGGTAAGCCGAACCGAGCCGGGCTGGTTCGGAACGGGTCGACCCGAGGTGGGTCGGACCGGACATTGAGCGAGTCCGACTGTTCAGCCGACCAGGAGGACGGACAGCAGGGCCCCGGCCGGCTGGGAGGGTCAGTACGGGGCGCCGCACGCTCCAGGAGGGTACCCGAACGTTCCAGGCGGCTACCCGGATGACTATGGGCCTGGGAATCCAAGCCGGATGCAGTGCTCTTCCTTTGGGAAGCCGTGGAGGACTCCGGGAAATGACAGGTATGGGTCCCACTGTATGAATTATGAAGGAATGGATGGCGTGGTTTTTCGAGCTAAGCCTCCTACCATTGAGTTTCCAAAATTCAATGGGCAAGAGGATGCAGGCCTGTGGTTGTATGCAGTTGAGAGGTGGTTTAAAAACCACCCAATTCCGGAAGAAAGGAAGGCCTATCTGGCATCGTTCTATTTGGAGGGAGATGCGCTCCAGTGGTGGGAGTGGATGGAGAGATCCTACGCAGCTGCAGCAACCTTGATCACCTGGCCTATGTTTCAGGAAGAGCTCCGCTATCAGTTTGGAAAGTCAGATGGGTGGGCTCCGGAGCAGTTGGCGAAGCTGAAGCAGACCGGCACGGTGGCTGAATACCGTGCAGAGTTCTTCAAGTTGGGGAACCAGTGTAAAGGAGTCTCGGAGGACACCTTGGTGGGGCTGTGCATGGCGGGTCTCAAGCCCGAGATAGCAGCGGCAGTCAGAGTGTTCGAGCCCGATTCCTTGAAAACTGCTTTTCGTCTTGCAGGTCATAAGGAGGAAGAACTGGCTAGCTGGAGAAGCACCATTGGCCGCTTCTCGAAGTCGAGTGGAGGAGGAGGAAGCAGCGGGAGCAGCGACGGCACAGGAGGGGCGCCAGGGGGAGGCTCGACTGGAGCTATCATGGGCAGTGGAGGTCCTGCTCCAGGGGCCAGGATGGGACCGCGGGCCATACCGAAAGGGTTCGTGCGACTGTCGCCGGTCGAGATTGAGCAGAAGAGGCGGGAAGGCAAGTGCTTCAACTGTGATGGCCGGTTCACCATCGGACATCAGTGCCCGAAGCCGGACTTGATGATGTTAGTCGGGCGCTGGGAAGATGAAGCAGAAGATGAGGTCGATGACGTCGGAAATGGCGAGGAGGAGGCCTAGTGAGCTAGAGGAACAACCTTGGGGACAAGGTTATTTTTCGAAGGAAGCGGGGATGTGGGAAACACAATTATTTGCAGTTTTTGGTTATTTCGTATTAGTGTCGGTTTTTAATGATTAGGGGATTATTTGGAGAATAAACCGGGAGTCAATTGTTAAGTTTTATTATTTGGGGTAGCAGATAGGAATTAGACAGGCTATATAATCTGTAGTAGTGGTCTTATTTTGGATTAAGCAATTACAGAACCAAAACCCTAAAGCCTAATCCCTCTCTCTCCCTCTCTCCTGCGTTTTTTCTCCCCTCTCTCTTCTCCTCCAAAGCTGCGACAGCAGCAGCCCATTCCTCCCCTCTTCTTGTTCTAAATCCCCAATTCTAATCCCTAGTTAGGTCAATCCCTAATTGATCTAGCTAATTTCCCAATCCCTAATCACGTGAGAAACCTTGTTTCTCACACATAACTACACACACTCACTCTCTTAAGATGCACATTGTAACAATGTGCATGACAGATGACACAATGTATAAGTGTATAGAAACAAGTTTACCGCATTGGATAAACAATGAATAAGGTGAAAGAGATCGAATGTGGAATCATTTAAAATCATGAAACATGGAGGAGATGAACATCCATGATATAGTTATTCGAATACTAAGCTAGAATTATTGTCAAAAAATACTAAGCTAGAATTCTTAAACTGAAAGGGGAAAAGGAAAATAAATCAAAGGTTGATGTCAAACAAACGCTTCTTTAACATCATTAATTAGACGATTGCTCCAAAATCTTGGTTCATCTAGGACCTCTTTGAAATTGAGGTTCACATCCTTGGTTTGAAGTCTCAAGTCATTAGCATTTGGTAAGACATTAAAAAATGAAGGGTGGTTGACTTAATCTAGTTTGAGGTGCCGCATTCGAGACCTCTTCTCTCTTGTTTATCTCTTATCTTTATCATAAACCAACGAAAGATCAAGGGATCACCATCATTCCATCCACCAAGAGGGACCAATGATGGTTTGGCCTTGACTTGACATGATCTTGGATGGTTTTCTGGAGATTCTCCCTATTAGCCTCACGTCCATGACCTATACCGTAAAAATTGGCCAGAATTCCAATTGAAGAAATTTCGTGCCGAGTGATTCAAGACTACTCCCACAGTCGTGACCCGGGACGTGAGAGCACCCCACGAGCCATGTCCACTACACCTTGACCAGTTGGAGACCTATTTTACACACATGAGTTGGGAAATTTCTTATCTCTGAAAATGAGGATGTTGAAAAACAACCTCTGTCAACAATCACTCAATACTTTCTCTATGTTTTGTTGTTTTTTTGCCATTTGCCTTTATTAAACAATTCGCAGCAGCTATTTTGACTTTGATTGATGATGCGTTAATTGCTTTGGTGTCGAAATGATAATTGGAGTTGGTTATAGGGGCGATGCATGTGGTGATTAGGTTTCATTCCATGACTCGCCAATGACGCGATGACATTTGAATAATTGTTGATCAACAATACAATTTGGAACACCCAACAGATGAGGATTATATAGAATATATATATAAGAGGATGATGGCTGACCTAATTGGGGCTGGCAATTTGAGATTGCGATTGCGATTGCCACCCATCATTTCCACGTTCAATTCGACCGAACCGTCATTTGTCGTTAGGCACCGGCGATATACATGGATTTTGGATGACTTGGTTTTACACGTGTTTAGTATTGTTTTTCTGTTGGAAAGATTTCAGATTTGGCGATAGGGTTAGGATTCAGGAGTTTACAAATCATGACTTAGGGTAACAAATTTTGAAGGTTCAGGACTTAAGAGTAAAGAATTGATTAGTCAATGATAGTATGTTACTTGTATCATCATATTAATAAATTTTGACCTGGGCGAATAGTATACACTCATTTTTTTTCGTTAGTGCGCAATACGAATATACAACTAGGCAAAAGCACAAAGCAAAAAGGGAAGGGACATGAATGATAATATGGCTATACTTTTCTGGGACTGCGACTCGCAAGCAAGTTCAATACAAGAAAAATCAGCATCTCATTCATAGTGTGTCGATGCAAAAGTTCTCACATCAAACTAAACACAAACTTTTCAGGTCATAATCAGGAGACCACGAATAAACATGACATTCAAAGCCCACCTCCTCCTTCACAAAAGAAGGCTAGGACTGCTCCCCACCCAAGTTGATACCCTGCCGGCCATCTCTAGGGCTCGTCTAATTGTTCCTGCAACGACAAGGCGAAAAGGCAGTTTCGGAGTGGGATTCTGAACACTGGGAGTTCCATGGTACAGAACATTCGTAGAGATCAATCAATATATGCTACTCACCTGCACATCTGATGTCCAAAGAGTGAGGTTGTCCCTCAGAAGTTGCATGATCAAGGTGCTGTCTTTGTACGATTCTTCCCCCAATGTGTCTATTTCAGCAATGGCTTCCTCAAAAGCCTGCGTTAAGAAGGAAGGGTAAACTCACATTCAAGTCCATACAACACCGAAATAAGTTCAAATGAAACCCTCCCAGGGGAAAATAGGTTGCAACTTAAAACGAGCACTTGAAAAATACACCATCAGGGTTGTGTTTATCAGTTGATTCCAATTCATCCATTTTCATTTTTGCGTGCAAGCTTAAAACCCAAGGAAATGAAACACCGATTGCAACCACTGTTTGCTAAACCGCACCTTACCAACGGTCCAATCGGTAAAACTGCTACCGGAGCCCAAGCTGGTAGAGGTTTTACCAGTATACAATGATCAAACCACGGTTTAAGCTTAAAACCTCCTTACCACGAGGCTGCAACTAGGCAAAGGATACATATCTAGGGTCAGGGCTTTCTAGTGATAATTTATCATGTGAAAACGCATCCACCTTCAAAACTTAAGCATAAAATAGTCAGCCCTTCAAAATCAACCCCAATCACATCCAAATGCCTAGAACAATAACTCATTACTACTGACTTCTAGCTCCATCAGAATACTTCTAACCGCGGAGGAAAGTGACCAGCCTTTCGGTAGAACTCGATTTATCGTCAGTTCGAACAATAATGGGGAAAGCAGCAATACCCGGGGGGGAAATGGCAAATAGCCAAATACCTTACTAGGATACAGATTTCTAGGGCTCTTGGCTTCTAGAGAGCCAAACATATATTTGAGAAACAAGGGTAATCGACCATCTATCAACTTTGAAGAATTGAGAGTTTTACTGGGCTTGTTAGCTCACCTGTCTAGCCATACTGCAAGCTTTGTCAGACTGGTTGAGGATCTCGAAGTAGAACACAGAGAAATTGAGTGCCAGACCCAGCCTAATAGGATGCGTTGGGGCAAGATCCGCAGCAGCAATCTCCTTTTAACACAACATTTCAGGAAAAAAAAGAAACGAACAAAACCAATCTTCCCCAAATTAACTTCACCAATCAAGATTTCAGCACTAAAATCCTAAAAATTTCGGACTACCAAACTTCAATTCAATTCAAGTGAAGCACAGAGCCTTTCCATACCAGAGCAGCCTTATAAGCAAGCATAGTATCTTCCGCAGCGGTCTTCCTCTCGTCCCCAGCCTTGAACTCGGCCAAATACCTGTGGTAATCCCCCTTCATCTTCAAGTAGAACACCTTGGACTCGCTGGATGCCGCGGACGGCACCAGATTCGAGTCGAGCAAGTTCAAGATGCTGGCGCAGATGTCCGAGAGCTCGCTCTCCACCTTGGATCTGTAGTCCTTGACGAGCGCCACGTGCTCCTCGTTCTTCCTCCCTTCCTCCTTCTGCTCGATCGAGGAGACGATCCTCCAGGCCGCGCGGAGGGAGCCGATGACGTTCTTGTAGGCGACGGAGAGGAGGTTCCGCTCCTCGACGGTGAGCTCGGCCGCTGGGGTCGAAGCGAGCACGAGCTTCTGCATGAACTGGACCATCTCCTCGTAGCGCTCGGCTTGCTCGGCGAGCTTGGCCAGGTACACGTACTGGTCTCTGGTGAGGTTGTCGGGGACTACGGGCGCCGCTGCTGCTGCCATTTTTGGAAGGCAATTGGATTTGCAGTTAGGGAGGCGGGCGGGCGGGCGGAGTGTTTGGTTTCTGAGAAAAAAACAGAAAGGGAAGAAGAAGAAGAAGACGGGAGAGGAAGAATCGGAATGAGCGACTGGCTTGGCGCTGGGCGCATCTTTTTTTTCTTTATAGCCTATAGGGACTTTCTGCTTTTTTTTTCTGTCTTTTTTGAAAAAAAATTGACGGCTGTTAACCGTAGGGGCAAGGAAGTAAATTCAGAAGGAAAATCTTGGAGGTTAAGAATGTGAATCGTTGGCTAATTTGGGAAGAGAGAGAACGTGCGTAACAAACGATAAGTTCGTTTTTGTTTGGGAACTGGGGTTTGGGAGGGCATATTCCCCTTTTCATAATTCAATTCCCTCTTGTAATTTACCTTTTTGTATGTTTTTATTTTATTTTATATAAATATAATTTATTAACTAAAATTTCCAAATTATTAGTTAAGGCTTTCGAAAATCGAAATATAAAAGTCAATTTTTTTTTTGCAACGCATCAAAATATTAGTAATTTGTTTGTTAAGTGAGTACTTTTGTAACTCTTTTCTTAGTTAAAAATTAAAATACTAAAATTTTGAAATGTAACTGTTTGAGACACGTTACCCTCGTAAGACTCTCCTGAATCCTCTCTCGCCAGGCGCCGATCTGCACACACGAACAAGGAGGGGGCGCCTTGGCCCGTTAATCCTCCGACGCCCAAGTCAGTTTCTAGGAAGAGAGAAGTGTCTCAAAGCTAGAGTTTGTGAGAGAGAGTCCAACCTGTGTAAATGCTACCAACTGCCCCTATTTATACTTACCGGAGTTCGAGGTTGATCCTCTCTACCTCCCTGCCTTCATTCAATGCTTTGTCTCTTTCTGGCCAGACATCCCAACCACCTTGTCAGACTCCTGGCATGTGACAGGCGCCCGCAGGTACTGGACCACATGACAGTCTGGCCTCCTTTGGCTTCTTGTAACTTGTCTTCATGTGGCCTCCTTTTTACTTGGGCCTTGCCCCCCACTTGGGCTGTTTGGGAGCCCAAGTTGCCACTCATTGGGCTTTGCTCATAATACCCCCAACAGTAACCATCACGTATCTTTTCCAAGTCAATATCATGTTGCCAAGTCAATCTTACTAACAAAAATGCTAACCAAAAGTTAAAATTTGGTTGATATTTTTGTATTTTGAAAATTTTATCTAATGATTTGGAAAGTTTGAAAGGTTTGGGTAATAAATTGTATTTACTATCTACCCTTTACTTTACTTGGATTGGTGTGGAAGATTGTCGAACATTTTTGTGTTAAAATTATGCATAAGTAACCACTATCTCGCTATTATACTCATAGCTAGAGCGGTAAGTCTGTTCCTAGATACCTACTGACCTAGTCGGGTCCGGCTTGATCCTCAATCTGTCTACAGGGTTAATTTAAAGTTGTATCATCTTTTGACTTTTGTAAGAATTGAGTCTCACTCACGGGCCTTTAAGCGAGACCGCGAAAAAGATCACGACGTAACATGGAGATCACTGTTGGGATCTTAGAGTTCTCAGTCGGGATCTCGAAGCATGTAAACTTTAGCAAAATCGAAGATGCGGTGATGCTTTGCGCGCTAAGGTTACGATCACGAGCACAATCTTGACTTGTATTATGCCCACTGTTACATGATAGTACGGCCTCAAAGCCGCGACCAAGCCTCGAGTCACGCCTAGCGGCCATGACGTACCCTGATTTCACTAAAAACGTCTATTTTCAACACTTGACGAATGAGAGCTCACAGAGTGAGGAATTAGGGTTTTGAACAATTTTAGTGGGAGAAAACTTCTTGCAGAGCAAGGAAGAATTCATCCAAGACTCCAAGAAAAGGGGCAATCTAAGGAGAAGAAGATAATTTTCTAGTTTTTTCTTTTTCTCTCTGGTTTACACGGTCGGTTTTAATGAGGGTAGCTCCCTCGTCCACACATATTCATGTGCGCACCATAGACGGAATAAAAAAAGGAATTGATCTTTCCTCTCTCCATTTGGAAATAGAAATTCATATTAATCTTGCAGTCGTCATTAGAAGATGACGTGGCATGAACATTTGTCATTATAAAATCAATTGCCTTAATGTGCCTACACATTCCATACTTATCATCATACAATTGCGTCGGAAAGTCAAAGTGGTCTAAAAATGGATAGTGGGTTTCTGGCATGGGATTCTTTAGTTTTTATTACAATACTCGGTTGGGACAACTAACTACAATCATAAGTAAATGTATTAATGTAAGTATAATGAAATTAAAATGAACTGCATTGCACAAATTACCGTTGTGGCAATAAAGACTACATATGCGAGTAGTTTTACAATTTTATTGATGTGTATGCTCTTAAATGGGGAAAGCAAAGAAAATTTTACATAAACCCTGCATCAACAACATACGAACTAATTCATTGCCACAGATCCAAGTCCAGAAATCATCTATCCACTTAGATTGATGTTTTTTTTAAGTTCCCACATCACCCCAACAGCATTTGAACCTAGAAGAAGCAGCAGTTGAGACTTGGGAGGGTGTATGAACCTAAACCACAGAAAGAAATATAAAAAGGCTGGAGCTTTGATATTGAACAAGTTACGATGACCAAATCTTTGTGCATTTTTTATACAAATGGGATTACACCCCCCTGATACATTGACACATCCAAAACTCTGCTACTCCTTCTCCCTTCTGTTCTGCCCAGCACGCCGATCACCCGAAAAAAACAATACCTCGGAGCATTAGGTATGGAAGAAGACAGCAGAGGATGTCTATTGCAGTTGCCACAAACCATTTTTCTGATCACCAAATTGATTGCTTGATCCCGAGACCATTACAGGTCAGAATGAGCCCTTTATAACGGTTAAGATACTCCTGCATCCAACAACATCAATAAACGATTGAACGCAAACGTTCTAGTTCAGTGGGGACAACAGGAAGAATTAAAGGTAAGAGATGGCAGACTTACTATAACGTTATAGTCGTAGACATGTGACATCCCTACAGTATCGTACTCCATCCTCCTCTCAGGATCGCTCAAAACTGTTTTGACACATCAACAGCTTCAACAATTAGCAACCTTGGACAGAACATTCTACTCACAGTACTATACATCATTCTTCTTAGCCAGAAAGAATAAATCCATTCTGACCAAGACGGTAAAGCACTTTCTCAAGTCTGAATGCTGCAACAGTAGATAACAATCACACGAAACAAATGTTGTTCCTTACGATTTCTAAGCAGCGAGAAGTGTTGCTTTGAAAATATCCTTAACTAGGGTTGTGATTGATGAAATGGCAAGTGACTCAATAGAAAAAAATACAAAGAAATACACAATGTACACTATTGAGGTTTGAGATGACTTCCGAACAAGTCTAACAGGACCTGTCAACTAGATTCAGATAACTTCTCCTCTCCTCCTTAGAAATCTTTTCCTATTCTCAGCATGCGCAACCATCCAAGGCAAATAGGAAAAAGAATAACCTTCGTAGCCTTCTTGCTTAATGAGCAATACGCTCAAAACAATAAGAGTTGTCAGGTATTTGCGGAGAACATATCAAAACAGGCAAATCTGATTTTCTTAACATGTCAAAAAGGGCAAATTTGAGTTAGAGCTTCATTTATCAATTATCATGCAATGTTACCACGAACACTCCATGTTGTTTGCATCATAGCATGCAAGACTTGTCGGAACCAATCATGGTGCAGGACTGAGAATGGGTAGTTTGTAGGCCCAGCATAAGGCATGAAAGGTTGAAGCAGAAAGGTTCAAGCTTACACCAAGTTCCTGATATGAATAATTTCCTACTTCATAAAAAGTCTGTAAATCAAAAGGGGCTTAGATTGTATAACAGGTAACAACATAGGCTAGGTAATTACATAGTTTTCCTGGTCTTCTCAAACTACTTATAAAGTGTGTGTAGATATTTGGCTGGATAATGAGATTACGAGCCATCAGTCCTCTCCTTTAGTACTAGCTTGTGCAGACCTATATGAGGATTATTAAACCTATAACCAAATTAACCTAGGTATTCTTAAAAATCTTTTGTTTTTCCTCCAAGAAACAACTTGGTTATGCATCACTTGATTCTGCAAGAGTCAAGCTTGACTTAATCAACTCCTGGGATATGGCAACCCAAATTTCCAAGATTCTAACTAATATGACTGAAACATCAGATCAGGCCTCTCACCCTCATTCAATTTTCCCCAACTTAGGCAATATTTGAGTTCCTCAATACAACAAAACACTGAAATAGTGTACCATTTACTACTCACTAAAACCAACATAAACAACCATGGATAGGCAACCAACTGGCATACTGTCCCATATTTTATATGGTATACCGGCACCGGCAGTTAGAGAATTTTGGCAACTCCTTGAAACACTTTATTTGTTATTATAATGAAAAAGTATAACTTGGTAAGCATTATAATGGAGAGATGCATTGAAACCACATAATAAATTGACAAATTACGAATTTGCTGCAACAAAAAACTGTAAGAGAAACATATACACTGTGGCAGGCAACATGAACGTCAAGACTCGTTTACCAATCCAAAAGTTCCAAGAGCTAGTTAGGTGGGTCTTGCCAGGAATTCACCGGTAAGTGTGAGAATTGTACTCCTTTGAAGGGAACAAAGACACATGTGTTCCCTTGACAAACAGCAAAGAAAGAGCAAAAGGATAAATGGATGCAAGGGGTCCAAGCTTCACTATGAACCCCATATTATCCCCACAAAAATACCACTACCCTGGCACCACACCAGTTGCTGCCGCTTCAAAACCATGTGCCAGTAGCCACAAACAGAACCTTCTAACATTCCAATTAAACTTCAGCTATAAAGGAGAGAAGCATTGAACATCCACATTTGACACCTACCTCTTAATCTGGCTCATGACAAGTCTATAACTCGATCAAACGAATTGACGAGGGACAGAAGGCAATTCAAGCAAGTAGATTAAAGAACGAAATGAGAAACTAACCTTGGTAAGCCTCATTTATTTCTTGAAATCTAGAAGTAGCACTGTCCTGGTCCTTATGCTTATCAGGATGCCACTTCTACAATCCACAAAGGAAAAAATCCCAAAATTAAAAATAGGGAGGCATACTATCAATTCACCTGGGTACCAACAACAACCAAGTCTCTTCATTTCAAGAACAGCAACCGTAGGGAAATCACAAGACCCTATCCCCTGGAAGTGAAATTGAAGCAAATTGTGGGAGGAGGAGACACAAACCAGGGCGAGCCGTATGTAATTGGAACGAATAGCATCCTCCGAAGCATCGTAGTCGACTTCAAGTATCTTGTAGTAATCCTGCATTCCACAAAATACCCAAATTCACCACACACAGAAAACGCACAATTTTCACTACAGAGTCAAAAGTAGAGGGGGGGTAGTTGAATAAAGGACCTGGGGCTTGGAGACGAGAGATAAGAAATCGAAATTCAGGTAAGCGTCCTGGTGGTCGTTGCCGGCGTTGGGCAGCTGATGATGATTATGGCAACGATGAGGCTGAGGATCGTCAAAACCATCCCAAGTCATCATGTTCGGGCGAAACGGCAAATGGGTAGTGTGAAGAAATTCTGGGTAGCTAGAGGATTGGTCTTCTGCTTCGGTCTTCTTCCAAAGCTTATAGCTTGGAGTGGGTTTTGGATAATATCGGTGGGGGAGAAGGAAAGGAGGCGGGGAAAATGGGAAGAGGGGGTCGCACGGTTGCTGTTATTGCTGTGCGGTGGACGGGCGGTGATGTGGCGTTTGTGTAGATCGGCGTGCCGCGTACTTTGCTCTCCTCGTTGAAGTTGATAATCTCAGAGGGCCGTAAATGAGGGAAGAAATTTTGGTAAATTGGGTCAATTCGTTGCGGTTGGGTCGTTGCTCATTCCTGACTCATATTCTATCCGAAAGATCATTCCTCCCAAGAGGAAAATAAACTATTGGGAATGATTGGCTTTTGTTTTTCTGGTGAGAAAAACAATTAATTATTTTTTATTGGTTAAACTAGGCCAGTTTTTCGTTAATTGGAGAAAATATTATCAATACGGTCGCATATACATATTTTTTTCCTCAAAATATCATTCGTATTTTTTACACTATGTTTGGGAATGGGTCCAAAGAGGGGTAAACACAAGTTTTAAGGAATTTGGTTATATTTAGTTATTTTGTAATAGTAGATAATGTGAATGCAAATTTACTATTTCGACTTATACTGAATTCGGGTGAAAGGAAAGGAATGGGAGGGTGGAGGGGAAGGAGAGTGATTATGATTTTAATTATATAATAATAATTATTAATTATTATCAAAAAATTATATAGTTATTATTAATGTAGATGTTGTTCAAACCTCTGGTCATCGTTTGACTCCGGGAGCAAGTTTGTCATGTTCGTCTAGTCAAATCGAGATCACCATATCGTCAAATCAACTTTCGAGTGGGAGACATGAGCTAGTTATATGTCATGGCCACAAGTTAGGCTTCGAGGTTGAACGATCAATGATCAATACAATTGTTATGATAAATTACTATTTAAGCATTACAATCTCAATAATTATTTTCATTAAATGATATTTATTAATACGGCATCTAATTCAATTTCTTAGGTCTGGGTCGGTCGGGATTCCTTGGTTCTCCAGTGAATCTTTATTGGTCTTTTTCTTTACCGGTGGCCTTCGCTCCCCTCTCCTCTACCGGGAAAGGTTCTAACTCCTTTCCCGCTCCTTGTATCCTTTTAACTTCATCATAATAAGGAAGTGGATTGCCAAGCTGAAGAGGATGAAACAATTGTTTTCCATCTTTGCTGATTGCACCTATATTAATATGGTGATACTTAAATTGAAAATCTCGTTGTTGTGCCTCACTTGGTGCAATAAAAAAAGGTCTTGCTAACCAGAACTAAAGGGAAGTAAGAGCAATTGTCTTTTTCTCTACCATGCCTTGAGCCTAAAACTCTTCCTTATAGAGATCCTGATTTTCTGCTTACCACAACTCACTAACTATGTCCCTGTCATTTGATCGTTGAAGAGTAGGGAAGAGGAAAGAAATTATAGTTTGAAGTGAAAGCCTTTTAAGACACGTTAATTAGCCTGTGAAAGAATTATTATTATTGTTGATGTCAGGATTGTAACCCACATCGAGTTTCTTCTATTGAGCACCAGAGTCGGTCGACGACCACCTTTCATGAGAGTAGTTCGAGGTGAAAGGTGATGAGCGCATGCTGAAGGAGCAGAGTCTTCGAATTCAGATGCCCATGTTCAGGAGTTAGAGTCTCAGCTGGTGTGTCTACGCCAGATGGAGCAAGAGAGGAGTGATCGTGAAAAAGATCAGGTGTCCTTAGCTGAGGTGAAGTTCTTCTTGAGTCAGCAGCATGTGGCATTTAGGGAGTCAAGAGAGCTTCTTGCTCAAGAGAGGGCTCATTAGGGTCGGTTGGAGCAGCAGGTGGCACGCCATGGTGATTAATGTCCTCAGTATCTACTTATTCTTTAAGTTGGCCATGGATGTTCTCCGTGACTAGTACCAGACGATCCACTTGGATGAAGACTTCATTCGAGTTGAGGTCACGCGACGTGCAGATATGATGGCATTGCCGGTCTCTCAGGTGGAATATGTTCTTCAGGTGGAGCGGGTGCTTCAAGTGGAGAGGGCTCTGTTAGGTGGGTTGTTGACCTCGGGACCCATTGTTTGAGTTCTCTGGGATCCTTTCGACGCTAAATTAGCAATCTCACAGGCTCAACTACCGTAGGGGTAGAGGATTTGGAGCAGTTAGACCTGCTAATAAAGAACTCCACTTTTAAATATGGATGTAAGTGACCACTATCATTGAACTTTACATTGTAAAAACTTATTTGTAATCATGAGGCTATTTCAATAAAAAGAAACCATGTTTTATATGTTGAAGATTAACATTATAGCTTCAATAGTTCAATTTGACGACAATCTCAGCTCTTACATCTAAAATTTGTGTAAAAGTGGTATGACTGAACTATTCCATTTGTTAACACTAATCAAAATAGTCTTTAGTTACTAGAAACTAACCATGAAAATATTTCAAATCAAGAAAATTATGATACTCAAAAGGCGTATCATAACGAAAGTAACAAAAAGTATAGCTATGTGCCTATGTCTTTTTAATCAAACCAAAAATCAAACTAAAAGATCAACCAAATAAACTGATAATTAAGAGATCACACATTATTGTCAAAGAAACTAAACAACCTAGTCAGCTCTCCAAGCAAGAATAGCAAATCATAGGCAGTCTTTATTTAATTGTTGTGTTATTGTTAGGACTTAGAGGAATAATCGTGAACACGTCCATTATTATTTTTGCGCGGAAGCTCTTCAGTAGCATGTCAAAAGTCCTTGATTAATTTTCTAAAAAAAAGTCCTTGATTAATGGCATACAATTTAAATTTAATCACCGAAAAAAATTAAATTTAATCACAAAAAAAAATTAAATTTTCATGTTTGAAGTCAATTTAGTCATTAGATTTAGCTAGCTTATTTGCCCGGATCCTTGGTCGGACATAACCCTGAAAATTAGTACTCTAACTCTGACTGATATTACCCATTAGCATATTTATGACGATGAGCGGAGGTAACCAACAACACAATAATAATTTTATGGAAAGTCATTATTCCATTGAATTACAAAATAAACAGTAAAAGATAAACATTAAAATGGACAATCCAAACCAAGCCACCAGCTCTAAATTAAGCAACTATTGCCAAGCACTACGATGCCCCTAGAGTAAACATGAAAAAACCAAAAAAATATGTTTGATCCCACTAGGATGATGTCATGCTTGACACCCAAGTGGTTGGGTCTCAACACTTAGCCAACTTTCACTTCCACCATGCCGATTTGAGTGGCTGACGTTGAAGGTGTCGACGCTTGACCCTCATTGCTTGACATCATCATCATGCTTGACCCCCTGTCATGCTTGACAGGTGGATGCTTGGTGGGTCGAGGGGTGTGTGTTGAGATACCTTATATAAAATTCAAAAGTTCACAACTTAGGCCTAACTTAAATCAATTTAATTAATATGGTTAAGTTGGTCTTATAAATCAATATCACTCATTGAAAATAATAAATGTTGTACCAAGTGATTTTTCTAGTGTAAACAAACATTTATACTTAATGTTAAAATTCGCATTCACTTATAGCCCAATGTGTTGGAAAAGGAGTGTATTTTCTTGTGTTTTCCTTGTGGGCTTCACAGTGACCAGTTCGATTACCATATTAATTTGGTATTTTTGTTGTATGGAATACTAAATATGGTTACTTTCACAATCAAGAGGGGTACTCTAATTCATGTATTTCATTTAGGCATTAGTTGTTTTACGGGAACATTGTAAAGATACCTCAGAATCACTCATGTTCTTATTATTCTAGTGGCAGAATGGTTCAGTTGGTGCACTCAGCGAAATGCAAGGAAGGTCTAAGTCAAATGTGTTCGTTTGTTTCGTAGATTTGAAAAATGAAGATTTTGATAAAATTTGGGTTTTGTAAAATCATTGATATATGAGGGTTTTAGGTTCATCATGGACTTGAAAAATACCATTGTTTGTTTCATAGATTTTATGATGGAATTGGTTAATTAAATTTGTATGTATGAAGTGAAATTTACCTTTATTGCCCTCATTGGTATGAGAAGATAAATGAAATAGGAGAGGTAGTTTGGTCTTAAATGATGGACTTCAAAGTCCATGATCAATTCTCATCTAAATAGGTGGAACTTTCAAGTCTGTGGGGTCCACGAATTTGGACCCGTAAAGTTCGTGGGACCCAAGAATTTGTTGCCCCTAAATGAATTAAGCAAACAATGAATTTTGGACAAAGTACATGATGAATCCAAATCTCTAACCAAATTCATCACCAAATCCATCAAACAAACAAGGCAGAGAAATGGAAGTGGTCTTGTAAAAACTGACGATTTAATTTTGAAGAAGGTATTTCTTCTATCCTTTGCAATGCAAAAAAGTGCTCTAAAATAAATTCAACAGTTGACGTGAGAGCACTTCATAGACCTATAAAATATGTGTTCTACTAAGCCAGGACGTAACTTTCGAAAATGACGAATGCACTTAGAATCACGTTCTCATTTATGCCAATAATAATTTTTCATTAGGAAAAACGATATGCAATGATAATATAAGAATATAACCCTTAAATGAAAAATAAAGCAAAATTCCCATTTTAATGAGCTTCAACATATACGTCTCCATTTCTCAGGTTTGTAATGCTTCTACACACGTGAATACTAACAAAGTTTCTTTCACTACTAGCATTGTTACTCGTGCTAAGATAGGCATTACACTCAGGTTTATACAGAAGTAATGAAAATAAACTGTCGAACAACAACGATGATCCACAAGCGCGTATGGGCTCATCCTCACAAAACACCACAAAGGCCCAATAGAAGCCCAAGAAGTGTGACAAGGCTTCACCTATAAATATGCTATTAGGTCTTCAAAGTAAGGGATCTCTCCTTCTCTTCCACTCATTTTGACATATCATTTATCTCTCTACAATATCTCTTTCTATCTAGTTCTTCCTACTTTCTATCACAATACTAATGTTGATCGTCGGAGTGTAGATACCGGGGGCCGTCCCCGCCCTTTCACAGATCTGGCATCCTACCTGTTTTGCGGCTGAAACAATTGGCGCGCCAGATAGGGGTTAGAATCAAATAGGAAGTTTCAGTTGGGTGGGTTCCTGATTCGACCTTCGGAAGTCGCGCTACAAAATTTGGCAAGGAAGTGAAGAGTCTTCGAACTTCTAGTGTGTTCGTCTGTTAAAGAAAAAGGAAGAAAAATGGAAGTGTAGCTTTGGTCGACTTCTCTGGCCAATGAAAGGGTGGGAAGAACCATGAGAGAAAACCAAATCTGACGTTCTCAGCGGTCGGATTCTGGGCAATGTTATATGCTTGGTGAGTCTTAATGGAATAGGGGAATGAATGCTCTGACCGCCATTAAATATTTCATCTTTCTCTTCTTTTGTCCTAAAACATCAGATCCACTTTTCATTAAGCCTTTCATCTTTCTCTTCCTTTGTCCCAACCAATAACCCAGATCTACTTTTCAGTAGGCCTTCTTGAAAGTCGGTAAGTTAATTATTTTTGTGGGAAGGAGGGAACCAATCCACTGCTTTGCTTGTTTCGATATGAAAAAGAAGAAAAAGAGGAGTGATCAAAGTAGATCTATAGATACAATTATTTGGATTGCACCGAAAAGAAGGAAAAGAGTGGTTA